GGGTTTGAACCACCAGCCTTCTGGTGAGCAGTCAAGTGCCTTAGGCATTACACTACCAGAGCTCCTCATGGAATAATATTTTGGAAGCCTGGTTGAAAATATTTCACCAGTGAGGTTCTGAAGAAAGAACTCATAGTTTACCTGCTGAGACTTCTAGTACTTTCAAAGTCTTCTACTATTCAGTTTTTCACAAGTTCCTTTTTTTTCCTGTCCTGGACAATTCCTGTTAGTTTAATGTTTCTGCTATTAGAAATAGAAGTGGTTTTTTTTTTTTTTGGTTGTTGTTGTTTGTTTTTAAATGAAAGCTGTACCTTGATATTTGTACTTAAAATATTATTCTTTTCTCTAACCACACTCAAAGCTGTTTTGTAGTCTGATTAAAAAGCAGAATGTTTGAAACTGGGAATATTCAGGAAAATGCAAAAGCCAAAGCCAACCTCATAATGACTATTGGGGTTAGGGGAAGAGAACTAAAAGCTTTGATTGTCTAATCTGTAGCCAAGAACTTTTAGAGAATTTATCTGGTGGTTCAAAACAATTTAGACATTTTTATAAAAGACTATCATTGTTAGTATGCTTTTATTTTACTTCATTTAGTTTATAAACATGGCTTACTAATATTTTATTTGCTTATTATTTGTCTCTTTCATTAGAATATAAACTTCATGAAAGTAGAGACTTGTTTCTTCACTGCTGAGTTCAATACGCCCACAACTGTGCTTGGTGCATAGTAGGCTATAATTGCATATCTGTTTAGCGAATCAATGAATAGAAATAAATGACCTGCATAAAATATATTTTTAATTTGCTTGTGAAATGAGCCAATAGATCTGACTTCTTATATTCCAACTAAGAGGTAATCAGTGTCTTTCTACCCAAAAGAGTTAACACTGCTGAGATTATGGTAAGAAGAAATCAAACTACTACAGTGATAGAATTTCTCTTCTCTGGATTCCCTCAGTTTGAAGATGGTAGTCTCTTCTTCTTCATTCCTTTGTTTGTCATCTACATATTCATTGTCATTGGGAATCTCATTGTGTTTTTTGCAGTCAGGATGGATAATCGTCTCCACAATCCCATGTATAATTTCATCAGCATTTTCTCATTTTTGGAGATCTGGTACACCACAGCCACCATCCCAAAGATGCTCTCAAATCTCATTAGTGAGCAAAGGACTATCTCTGTTATCGGCTGCCTCTTGCAAATGTACTTTTTCCATTCTCTTGGAAATTCAGAAGGGATTTTGTTGACCACCATGGCTCTAGATAGATACATTGCCATCTGTAAGCCTCTCCACTACCCGACCATCATGACCCCTCGGCTCTGTGCTCAGCTCTCTGCAGGCTCTTGTATTTTTGGCTTTATTGTGTTGCTCCCAGAGATTGTATGGATTTCCACACTGCCCTTCTGTGGCCCCAACCAAATCCATCAGATCTTCTGTGACTTTGAACCTGTGCTGCGGTTGGCCTGTACAGACACTTCCATGATTCTAGTAGAGGATGTGATCCATGCTATTGCCATCATCTTCTCAGTCCTCATTATTGCTCTCTCTTATATCAGAATCATCACTGTGATCCTGAGGATTCCCTCCATTGAGGGTCGGCAAAAGGCCTTTTCCACCTGTGCAGCCCATCTTGGTGTCTTCCTGATGTTTTATGGCAGTGTGTCGCTCATGTACCTGCGTTTCTCTGCCAGTTTCCCACCAATTTTAGATACAGCAATTGCACTAATGTTTGCAGTCCTTGCTCCTTTTTTCAACCCTATCATTTATAGCTTGAGAAACAAAGACATGAAAATTGCAATCAGGAAGCTTCTCTGGCCTCAAAAAGTGTTTGGTGCATCTGCAAGCTAATGCTAGCTCACAGGCACTTACCTCTCCGTCGCAGTGAACCATAAAATTCACTGTGATGCTGATATTTTTCTCTGTTATTCTATTTCTTCTCATGTCTAAGAGGACTTGTTTATTTAGTTTGTACATGTTCAACTAAGGTAGCATGGATTATCTGTCTAAAGTTACAAAGATAGATAAAGAAAACATGATGTTTAAACCATTAAATTACACTTTTTAAATGAAAATTAAGTTTATCATAATAACTATTAATAATAACTACAGATTATAAAATGTAGTGGTTAAGAACATAAGATCTGTAGAATAGGTCAAGGTGCATATTTCAATGCTACTACATACTAGGTTTGTAACCTTGAGCAAACAAGCAATTAAGCTCTCTGAATTTAGTTTCAAAACCCATAAAATATAGACAAAAGTAATATATTTTAAAAATAGGACTGCATATTGTTATTATGAAAATTATGGAAGTACTTAAAACTATACGTAACAGAATACATGCAAAATAAGTGTGAATTATTTATATTATTTGACACTAGCTAGTAGTTTTTGCTTTGTATATTTTTTAGGACTGCTGTAATAAAGAATAACATATTAAAAATAAAAAACACACTTAAGAAAACTTAAATGGTTTTTTTTGAGCTACAATATTCTTGCCTCCATTTTTGTCCCCTTTGAAATATGTGCTCTGTATTGCCACAAAAAAATAATTTTCTAAAATGCAAGCTTAGTCTTCTGTATTAGGATGGCAATTTAAACCTGTATATTTACATTTCCTTCCATGAAGAATCCTATTGAAATAGATAAGTCAAGACTAAATAAACTTTTATGTGCCCAGACACTAAAAATGTTAAATATATGATAATTGTATATAACGTTGCCCCCAAACATTCATGATGTCTACTTTATTACCTTGAAATAGCATATATCTCATTCATTTCAAGATAAGGAAAAGCAAAAATTCTCTGTCTGGTTAAGGTATCCATAGCTGTAAGTTAGTTTACTGGGTCATCCTGAAATGATCAAAGATGTATATGAAACAAAAAAGTATAAACAACATTGTTGTTGCTGTTGTTATGTGCCGTCGAGTCAGACCCAACTCATAGCAACACCTCCTTGGGTTTCTGAGGCAGTAGCACTATGGAAGTAGATTGCCCAACCTTCTTTCTGAGGAGTGGCTGGTGGGTTTGAACCACCAGCCTTCTGGTTAACAGTCAAGTGCCTTAGGTGCTACACTACAAGAAAATGAAAAAATAAAACCAAAACATCACCCACCAGTCCTGAAAAAAAAAAAAAAAAAAAGAAGGTCATTAATAGATTGCAAGATTTAAATATTTCTTCTAGTATGAATACAGATGATATCCAATTAAGGCAATTACTAATCTGCCAGATTTCGACCAAAGGGAGGAAAAGTGAGCATAGGAGTGAAGTTGATGGGATTGTACACAGAAGCAATAGGAAAATAATCAAAGCTTGGAGAAGCAGATACTAAGAGCCATGGTCTATTGGGAACTCTGGATGAAAGGAATAGATCAAAGGGCTTGTGAAATTTCCCAGACACAAAGGCTCTGTCCCTGGGGACTGGACTGTAAATCTGAGAAAGACAAACTAGAGAAGTTATGAAGTACTTGGGTAACCTCAAGCTGCCAAAATAGAAAAGCACAACTTCTTGACACAACAGCAGTCATCAGAACCTAATTTCTGACTTCAGAGCAGATGCTTGCGTATGTGCCAGGAGCAATTAGAACTCTGAGGCACTGTTCTCTCATTTTTGTTTGTTTTGTTGTTTTTGTATCCATGTATATACAGGCACACATACACTTACAAAGTCTGCTTTTCTTGTTGTTGTTTTTTAGATTAGTATTTCCTTGCACTGAATATTTTGAAGAACATTAACTGCCAAATATTGAGAGTGAAAGCAAATGCTCTCTCATGAAACAGACTAATTCTAATTAAAAGGAAAAAAAGAATTACTAAACATTTCTACTTTAAACTTCCAGTGAGATTTATGAAAGTAGCATCTATTAGCAAAAATTAGCAGAAAATGACATAAATATGGAGTATAAAATGTAATGCAGATATTGAAAAATAGATTGAATACTGCAGACAATGAAATTAGTGTCCTAGAAGATTGCTTGGAGAAAAGATTCCAGAAATTACAGAAACGATGTGAAGCAACAAAGATGTCATACAAAGGGAGAAAAATATATTTCAGGAATATATTACTATATTCCACAGATCAAGTGGGTGGTTCTAGAAATTCTAGAGAGAAAGTAGCAAAGCAGACAGAGGAAAATTAATAATTGAAATAAAATGAAAATATACTTTAGCTGATGAATACTTGAGTTATCATATCAAAAGAGAACATTTCAAGCTATACAACATGACCTGTTAAAATTTTAGAATTTTAAGAGAAAAAGTAGTGTAAGTTAGGATAGGAAAAAAAGCTGCCAAGCTATAAAAAGAAAAGGTGGGGGAGAAAAAAAATACAAACAAATGAACGAATGAACAAACAAAAACAACAGAGATAAATGTACATCTTTCCATCCTAGAACCTAATATATGTTTCAAGGTAGAAGAAAATATGATAAAATCTACTTGATTTGGGGAAAAAAAAAAAGGCAAAAAGAAAGAGCATTGAGTTTTAAATAGAACAGTGGGTTGAAAGCATGAGCTACAGAAAAATTCTTTGAAAAAAAACATGGTGAAGAAAGAGTGAGAAATTGACTGTTAAATGGATAGGTCAGCAGGGCCAATGTGAGTTGTTTAGGAAAGGAGATATGTGCACATTCCTAGGGCCAGAAAAAGTGGTATTATTCCCTCACTTTCTCCAATAATGGCACAATATCCCCATCGACATGTTTATTCTGAAATGTCTTATTTTCTGTTAAATTGTTTTTTAAGATGATCTGTCTGGGAACTCTGGTGGCATAGTGCCTAAGGCACTTGACTGCTAACCAGTTCAAACCCACCAGCCACTCCTGGGAAGGAAGATTGGGCAGTCTACTTCCATAGTGATACCACCTAGGAAACCCAAGGAGGGGTCACTATGAGTTGGAGCCTACTCGACAGCAGTGCATTGCATTGTTTTTTGTTATCTGGTGTTAATATATGCCCTTCAAGATTGTCCATAACCGTGTGTTCATGTAAGAAGAGCAGGATCACAAGAAAACAATTCTTTGCATGATGCCCTGTTGGACTCATGAACAACTGAAACAATAATTATAGTGCTGGAGAAAGTAGATTACAATGTTCAAGACAGTGAATACAATCAGGACAAATACTTATTGAGAATTTTGATCTGAAAATACAGTGATAGGAGGCTGCAATGGGGAACTTCTTACTAACTAACCCCATGAGGAAAGGTGATGCTCACCACCAAGGTACAGAGGAAGAATCCCTTGTAGAGCCCACTTCCTTGTGACTTCTGCTGCAATGACTATTTGTCTCCTTCTGGAAAGGCTGATGGGATATCAAGGATGAGAGATGCAGAGAGACATGGTGGTCTTTGGCAGAGGTGAGCAAAGAAGATTAAAGCTTGGGGAGAAGAATTCACTTACCATACATATGAATACATAATCTGAAGACTCCATTAAAGAATTAGAGGGCTTGAAGTTTGGTTGGAGCAATGGCAAATTGAGAAAGAAGCTCACCCTTTTGAGATACTAGTCATGGATTTATATGAAAGAGAGTATCACATTTATGATGCTATTTTTGAGAGGTCAGTTAGGCTGGACTTGACTGGGATTCTGATTAGAACTGAATTGTCCAACTTCCTTTTCCAAAGAGTCCCTAATTTACCATGTTCACTTATCCATGACTCTCTTATGGGTTTAATTTTAATTGCACCCAGTGGCCTGGTTCCAAACCAAAATATTTGGCACTAACCATTTTTACATGCCAATCCTGTTATAGTTGCTGTGAGAGGTAAAATACATTTACTACCTTTAAGGAGGAACTCAGAGTTCAGAGAGGGTAAAACAAGTAAGTCGATGATCATAAGGCAGTGTGTTAAGTATGTAATTTAGGAACTACAGTGCAATAGTGCCCAACATTTTGGATCATCTGTATATGCCTGACATTACCCTAAGCATTTAAAATATATTTACATGTATTACTAGGGAAGATACAGTGTCTGTGGGTTAGAGTATGTCTCTAGAGACATAGTGCATGGATTTAAATTCTGACTTTGCCCTTTATCAGCTAAGAATCCCTAGACAAATTACTTAACTTTTGTGTGTCTAAGTTTTCTGCTCTGTGAAATGAATAGAATAATCCTACATGATTATATTTTATGAGCATTAGATATGCATACAACAATGAGCTACCCAGTAAATGATTCAATACTACCATACTATACAAATTTTGTTATTGTGAAATACGTAATCATCTTCAGAATCTTATGAGCTAGTATTAATAATGAATAATAACTTTACAAGTGAGAATGAAAGGCTTAAAGAGGTTAAGTGATAAAAGTTACAAAGTTGAAGTTGTGAAGAGAATTTAAAAGCAAGCAGGTTTTTTTTTCCCCCCTCCGGCATCCAGGCTTTTCACCAGCACTATAACACTTGGCTGCTAAGTAGAAGGTTGGTGGTTCAGTTCCACCCAGAGATGCCTTGAAAGAAAGGCCTGATAACCTACCTCTGAGAGGTCACAGTCTTGAAAACTCAGTGGAGCACAATCCTACTCTGCACACCTGGAGTCACCTTGAGTTGGAACGGACTTGACAGCAATTGTTTACATGATTATTTTGTGTGAGGAGAGGGGTCACAAGAGGGAGAGGTATGATACACTTCAAGCAGAGGAAGTAGCACACAAGGGAGAGTATTGAAACTTCAGAAAGCAATGCAACCATTGGGATTATAGGGAACCATGGTACTTGAGAAATGCTTGAGACAAAGCTAGAGAGAGGTCAGATTCAAATATGCTGGTTTATAGTTTATGAAAGAGAGAGTGGCTGGAGATAAATGTTTGGAAGTATTAGTTGAAATCTTGTAAGTGGATGA